CACAGAAAAGAAGGAGGAGAGACAAGGCCGGTAAATGTTTGATAAGAAAAAAGGAGTAGGATAAGAGAGATAAAGACAATAGAAGTTTGATAAAAAAGAAGGAGCATAATTTACACTTCAGTGGGTTCTCTTTACCAGGCCGCATAATGTGTGATTGTGGAGTACGAGTTAAATGCCCGAAGACTATTGGGTATGCAAAATATCCGGCGTATAGAATTGTTTGAATTTGTAATTGATTTATTATTATTATTCCAAATATTGATCTCTCTTCTTTATATAAAAGGATACACGCGAATGAACAGTGTACTTTTGCGTTTGCCAGTGCCGTAAAACACGAATTACTAAAACGAAACAGAACAAAGTGCTCTTTTTATTTGTACAGTTTATGTTTCTTTTAAAAAATCTAGATAGTATTTGTCGTAGGTGATTTTCTTTTTTCTTTTTTTTTCTTTTGGGGGGGAGGGGGTGGGGGGGTCTTTTGTTCCCCTTGCACACATGTGCACAGCCTGCCATAGCCCCCGGGTGAGCTCATAGAGGGAGAGCAACTACCTAACCCCATATGCCCGGCCTTTGTGTGCGACAGTTGGCGACTTGTGGTACCAGTATTGTTGGTGACTCTCTACGAGGGAATGGGCCGGCTATTGTTTGTTTAGCCAGCCGTGTCGGAATATGCTGTGAAGTGGATTAACGTTAATCTCGTAGTTCTCGCAGCCTGTTGCTTATTATTTTTTGTCTCTTTCCGGTTCCTGTTTGTGTTCAGAATTGGATTAGGTATATTACTTCAGTTACTGTCTGTCTTTTATGTTCTGTCTGGAGGAAAATTGTGTGCTGTGTACGCTCTTCTGTTTCCTGGACTGGATAGCTGGATTCTTTGGCTATTGTGCCCTCTAGAGCTCGGTTGTTTGTTTGCTCGTACACAATGCGCCACTGCTTCCCTTAAAAAGGACGCAGTTATCAGCAGATTAATTTACTGGGGTTTTTTGTATCAAGTAAGTCCAGAGCGGTGCATGTACAGTATTGGTAGATAACCGTTTCGTCTACGATACATACATTTTGCTATTGACGCGATTTACCGGCTGAACCTAGGGTTCCTTGTTAACGTGTCGTCCGTTTTCTACAGACAAGATTATATTATTATTATTTATTGTAATGCTATACGGAGATATACAAAGCGAGAGACAAATATGACAATTTTGTCGCAAAGATGACCTGGTCCCGAGGTGATTTCGCCATGAGTCGAATTCCTTAAAGCCGCGTTTCTATTTTCCTTAGTCAGTGAAAGGTTTTTTTAAAATAGCAGATCATCTCTTGTGGAGGATTCGTTAAAATGGATTTCTTCATCACGGAGAAATGTGCCTCTCTGGTCGGCAGAACAAAAACACAAGAAAAAACTACAAAACAACTAATGAGCCGTGTGCTGTGGTGTGGATGGAACGTTCTTTTAAACTATCGGTTAGCTGTGTATGTGGCGGGTTATTTGTTTATTAATTAATGACTACAGCAACTAATAATTTCGAAAGTGCTGCTGTCTGTGTACTGCGTGAATCATGACTCATTTGATTTAATCGTCGTGTTTGATCTAACTCACATCGAGAAGAAAGTCCTGGTTTTCTAAAAGTTTGATTTGATCGTCGTGTTTTATCTGACTCACATCGAAAAGAAAGTCTTGGTTTTGAAAGAATCTGATTTGATCGTCGTGTTTTATCTAACTCACATCGAGAAGAAAGTCGTGTTCTTTTTTTTTGGACATGAACATTTGACAAGGAGAGCGCGATGACTCCGACACTAGAGCGAAGACTGAACAACCCACCGCCATGGAACTCGCAGCTGCGGAGAAGAAGTCTACCCGGGAATTACCGAGGAGGTAACGTCTCGGCCGAGTCTGACCTCACCTCGAGCAGACTGCCCCTGACAGCCCGAGAGGGCGGGGCTCGAGCTCGGAGCGCGGTCGTCGCGAGACCACGCCCACCTTCCACTTCCACCACCGTCAGTCGTGGCTCCGCCCGTGGTGACAGAAAATCCTGGACCCATCCCCCCAAAACGTTTTTGCCGGCGAGGACAAGTCCGAGAGGTCAGTTGAAGAATGGGGTCAAAAGTTCCAGCGCTGAGAACTATGTCAGAGCAGCGGGCAGCTGTGAAGACAGGGCGAAGAGCTCGGGGACCGGAAAAGAGGCTAAAACTGGGAAAGGTGTTGCAGGAAATGATGCAAAATCCGAGTTGGCGGTGATAGGTCTCGGAATGACGGTTAGCGATGCAATTCCGATAGTTTCTGGCTCGCTGTCCCTCTCCTCGTCCACATCCTCGCTAGCGTCATCGTCGTCCGATTCGAGCTGGCTGGACTATGATGTGGAGGCGTCCTATGTGGTGAGACCGAGGCGAGGCACACAGCCGGACTGGGTGAAGGACATGCTGGAGAAATTCCTCTGGGAGAAGGACGCCGAGGAGGGGCGTGGTCTGGCGGACGGGGCGGAGTCTGCGAGTAGGAAGAGGGGCGATGAAAGCGAGGCCGAGGCGAATGGAGGTAATGACTAAATGTTTGGGAGGCACGACGTGTGTTTGGAATGGGTTGGGGACTGATAGTTTTTCGGTTTAAGTTTTTTTTTTGGGGGGGGGGGATTTTGAGTACGGGACTGTTTATTTATTTTATTATTTGGGTAAATATGAAAGTGGGCCCTCCATTCGGAACTTACTTGACCTATCACACACGATCGGGACCTTTGCTTTCCTTGAGACCCCATTTTAGTCGGCACGGCGTCTTTCGCGAAAGACGCTTTAAAAAAAGTGGGAGCGAGTGGAGTCTTAATTAACTCTAACGGTTAATATTTTTTTGGTGTGTGTGTGTGTGTGTGTGTGTGTGTGTGTGTGTGTGTGTGTGTGTGTG